ACTGACTGATAACTGACTGATCAGTGACTGATTACTGACTGATTACTGACTGATCACTGACTGATTACTGACTGATACCTGACTGATACCTGATTGATACCTGACTGATAACTGACTGATAACTGACTGATCACTGACTGATCACTGACTGATCACTGACTGATCACAGACTGATCACAGACTGATCACTTTTATAGGTCTCCCGCTCATTAGGTTTAAAAAAATCAAAAAGGAGAAATGTGCAATTAAACATTTTATTACCTGTTCTTCTCCTGCCTTGCAGCCAGACTTAAGTGTGAAGTTTTTCCTGGTACCAATTAAACTATTAGCGTGTCTCTGAATGTGAATCAGTTATACAAAGCTACGCATCCAAGTGTTTGAAATGAATTCAAATATGGGAAAAGATGAACTGGGCATTCTGGAATTATTGGTGAGTAGAAAAAAACACTATGAAATAAAAAAGGAGAAAAAAACAAAACATGTGCAAACAAATTCAATCATCTTTTTTTCCTTTAGCACAGGTAAAACTCACATAACTGAGCCCACCATATAAAACAGTTCTCCATTAAGAAAGTTAGAAACAGGCAGGTAGGAGGACAGTGTTCATAAGGAGAACAGGTAGTCTGCATCTCTGACTCACCAAATTTACTCATCTGATCCTAGAGCCCAATGGTTTTCTGAGTATAGATTTCATGCAGTTTTATGGTTTGACCTGTTTCTCACTGCTGCTTTGATTGACCTTGTAATTTTAACTTTAACTTTTTCCTGTTTGGTAACCAGAATCTCACTGAAGAAGCTGTGCAAACTGAGGATGGTCTCACTACGTTTGCTGTTCACATGCTTTGAAGGTTAAATGGAAATGGTTCTGGAGTGTTCAGTTATTGTACTGCAAATCTCTCTCTGTTTTTATTGCAATCATGAGAAATTAATTTGACATTACTTGGAACAGTTAACACCAAGTGTAAAACTCTGATTATGGTTGGAGCTTAGCCCCCTTTCAATTAAACATGTAAAGTGAGTGTGAGAAAAGCTGAGTGCAGGCTCTGATTCAGCAACCTGACTCCGCCAGATGGATTTGCTCCGCATATCCATCTGGAAACCTTCC